GCGGGAGGTTAGTTGTGGTCCAGTGGCTTCATTTGTAATGCCCATTATTTAAATTTAGCTCATTGTAAGCTTAATTGAAAAGGTGTTAAATCCTCCGTTCCGTGCAGTATGTTGCTGAAGGTAATTTGCAAATGGGTGAACAACTTATTTCACATCTTAGATTGGACATTACAATGCAGTCGTGCAGTTTTGCTGGTTTTGCTACCTGGGTATCATATATTTTATTCAGTATTATTCTTTGCGGAACAGTAAAATGTATTAGGCCAGGTTGGGGTGTATGCTTTGATAGTCAAGTGAGGGTTTTAGCGCTGTTTGTGTAATCCCCTAAACAATCAAACAATCAATGTGCGTTGCAGCCAATTTGCAGCTGCTCTATCTATCCACTACCGTCCTAATAATTGTTGGAAAGGTATCTGGTAGATGTGCACAGCCTGCAGTAAGTGCAGAGAAATATGTTACGTGCATTTAATACTTGAGTCCAGTGCTAAATTAGTTTTTTGACAGACAATATGGTCATTAAGAGTATGGGGGGAGAGGTAATTAAAAGTGTGGTGTATTCTTAATATTCTTATTATTTATTTATCTATTTTTATTTGTAATCTAGCTTTGACAGAAATCAGTACAAAGTTAATATACATAATAGAATGTACCATTTGAAGTTGGCAAAATCATTGTTAAAAAAAACTCTGTTATGGAGATTGCTAGTAAACACCTATTCAGTTTTCAAATTCACTGCGGTATTTCTTTCTGCGTGGTAGTCTTTTTTCCCTCAGAGAGGAATACCGTAGTGAGTTGAGTTATAATTGTTGAGTAATAAATGAAAGCACACATAGCGCTAAAAGTACCATTTAATATGATTGCAGGAACACGGCCTGGGAATGTTCTTGACATGAGCAAAGAAGTCCATGGAGTCATTTTTACCTGAAAGTACAGGTGAGTTGACATGAAAGTAACAAAAGCTGGTCCAATTTGTCTCTGTTCAGAGGCTATGAGAAGCTCCCTTTGGTGTGCATCAAAGTTCAGTTTTTAATGGTTTTTGTAGCGTTCCTTCCTGACAATTTCAATCCTCCCCCGTCAAAATCCAGGCTGGAATTGGTTTGAATTGGTGGGGCAGATTCCCCTTCCATTTGCTATGTGTAAATATTATGGAGCCAACCCACTACAGCAGAGTTCTTTTCCTGTTACTTTAGCTTGTGCGCCTAACGTAGACAACCTGCCCACAGTTCTAAAGACTACCCCTTCAAACTCAAGTTTCTCTGAACAGGGGTTGTTTCTGGCGGAACCAAAAGTATGTTTTGTGTTCCCCTGGTTCCCCTCTGTCGATTCGAGTACTTTTCCGTCAAAATCTGGACCCACCAACTTTCGCTGAAAACACAAAGGCTTATAGCCTTTGTAAATTGGCCAAAAATGAAAAAAATTAAATTCGCTGGCAATGGTTGGGATTGGTCCGACAGCATCCTCTTTCAATCTCCCCGTCGAAATTTCACGCCGCCGGGCCATTTTAAGTGAGTTACGCCTGTTTTTCTTGGGCGCGCCCGCTAGGTAGGCAGCCCATTGTACGCTACCCGCCAGAATCAAAAGACCACCCCTTAAAACTCAAGTTTCTCTGGACAGGGGT